GAGTCTGGCTAAGAGGACCAGAGGATGCCGGCCCCCTGATCTGGGGGCTTCATTCAGAAGTCACAGCCAACACACTGCAGCAGTGTCTGTGGTACCATCAGTGGTATCAGAGCCTTTGCCCACCACCTGCACCCTGCACCCCTTCACTGTCACCATCACCCCATCACTACAGACCCACCATGGTCACCTCATCACCTGACCACTGCCCCTCACACACAGCCCATCCTGTGTCCCACACACTCACACCTCCACTGTCCATCCTGTGCACCCACTACCATCCACCATCACTTCATCTCTACCTCCTTCACCACCACCACCCCTCCCACCACTGCCACCTCATCACCATCGCTCCGTCACCTCACCCCTGGCCCCCCTGTGCCATTGCCATCACCCCTCACCATCATCTCCCACCCCATAGCCTGCACCCATCAGCCCCCTGCTGTCCATCTAGGTCCAGGTGGACCTGCACCCTGGCCCTTCAACTTTCAACCTCAACCACAGGCCCCATCCACCACTGTGACTCCCACATATGAGCGTACCCAAAGAAACCCGGAATTTCCTGTACCCCCACAAAGGTATGTATTTGAATTTTTTAACAAAACAACCTTATCACCTTCAAAGTATTCTCCATTACACTAATACATCTGTCAAATCTGCGATTCCATTCTTGGAAACATTTTTCAAACTCATCTGTTTGGATGGCTGACAGCACCTCCCTTGTTTTCTTCTCCTCCTCTACCTTTTCAAATCGCTGTCCTTTCACGGCCCTCTTCATGTGCGGAAACAAAAATAAGTCGCATGGAATGTGATAGGTGAGTAAGGTGCATGGGCAAGAGAGGCATGCTGTTTTTTGCCAAGAACTGGCCCACTGAGATGACTGCGTGAGCAGGTGCATTGTTGTGGTGTCAAAACCAGTCTCCCGTCTGCCACAAATCAGGCTTTTTTTGTCTCACACTGTTACACAATCTTTTCAGAACCTCTAAATCAGGCATCCTCAAACTATGGCCTGTGGGCCACATGCAGCCCGCCGAGGACATTTATCTGGCCTGCCGGGTGTTTTTGCCCAGTTTGTTTTGTTTTTTTACTTCAAAATAAGATATGTGCAGTGTGCATAGGAATTTGTTCATAGT